CTAACCTTTTAGTGCTTATCATGACTTTTTGATATAAATCTTCAAAATTTTAGTAAAAGTATGCATGAAGTAAATGTTTTGTGTAGACAGTTTGAGGATTTTTTGACTCGTTCTCGGAAGGGGAAAGAAATGAATAAAGCCTACCTAGCTTGAGATTCATATCATATTGTACAGGATATGGCTTTGCATGAGGGGTATTGAAGTAGATTGTGAGCTTTGGTGTGAAAGACGCATAACCGGTCTCTTCCAATTCAAATGGTGGCTCTTTCAGAACTCGATATGGATTTGTAAAAGTGGGGTGCAGTTCGACCTCCACCTAGAAAAAACGAAAATCTTTGATGAATTACAGCAAAAATTCCTTCCCCACCTTGCTCAAAAAACTCCTATCCGTGAATTTATTGCCAACGATCGGACGCACAAACAAGATCCATCGAAATCGGTGATTGTTTGGCATTGGCTTTTCCAGTGCAAACGATTCATGTCCGATGAACACCTGAATAATTGCAATCGAAAAGCTATGCAAATATATAAAAGAGAAGTAAAAATACATTTGCAAAAATGCAAAAATATTTTTGTTTGGCAATTGAGAGATATTTGACGTAAAAGGGCAAAAGGTTACGCCTACCTAAAAATATGATATAGAAGAATAAAAATACACTACGGGATCCTGCGGGATAGTGAGTTAAATTTGTATGCCAGTGGCGGGATTGACCAATTTTTTTATCCCGATTGGGCGCTAGCTTACCTAACAAGGAGCGCCCGATCGGGATGATTCACACTTGTTAGACAGCGCCCGATCCTGATCGGGAGGTTAATAAATCCCGAAACAAGACTTCTTGGGTGAGGTGTGAAGAATCACACCTGCCCAAAAGGCAGTTCATATGATTCACTCATGGAATAGAATATCAACTCTAGACCTGCCCTATACAGTACCTATGGATGCTGGGCTTGAAAAGGTACGGTACGGGCGAGAGTTTAGAGCTGTATTCCTCGGACACAAATGAATCACATGAGTTGTTGGGC